AACAACATAGAAATAATATAGGCTACGAAATGTTCATAAAGTCATCTAATTAATCCAGGGAATCAGCATCATCACCTCACGTATCATGTTGCCGAAGAACAATATAAATTCTCAAACTCACACAAATAAATACCTAGAGCTAACAAGAGTAAAGAATAAACTTATTCAACAATAATTCAAACCATACTGTTGGATATAATACGGAGATTACTTCCGAACATTTTGAGTGACATCTATCACTCTTCAACAGCATCACTAATGAATTAATAGGACCGCAAGTTAACACGTATCACATCTAAATGTGTTGACTATTAAGTGTTTGTAGTTCTGTCAGTTCATTTAGACCTGCTCATACTGGTAAATTCCCAAAATTGACAAGCGAAAAAGAATGGAAGTACAATTTACGGTAGTATGACAACCTCTTGCAAAAGCATAGCACGTATACACAACGCGTTTAGAAGCAAGCAAACGTGTACATAATGTAAATTATATGATATCATAGATGAGTGCAAAAGCACATCCAATAAGATTTCTATTAAGAAAAACAGGAGTGACCTACCATATGTTAGGCCATGTTGATTTGATTATATGGATGACATCCTCCGGGAGCCCCAAAACTGATGCGCGTGCGAATAAAAAAAAAGTTTTGCAAAAAAAAAGTTGTTTTCATTATGAAATCTACGTGGTCATGAGGGTTGAACAAATGGGACAGAATATGGTTTGGCGAATAATCTAATCTCTAAGTTCATTTCCTTACAATTTCGTCTTTTTTCGTTTGATTTTGGCATTCTACGACATTGGTATAGTTTTTACTTATTTTCTTGTAACTTACGGTATATTTTTGCTCATTTTGCAACTGTTTTGTACGATTTACAGTATGGTTGAAAACTTTTTTTTTTAAACGGCCGAAAATTCATGCGCGCGCGGATGTCATCCATATAATCAAATCAACATGGCCTTACACACACTACGGAATCTTGAGTCAAATAAAACAGCGAGGACTATTATTAACTTACGTATCATATATAGTCGAACAAGTAATGCCCTGCTACAGTCTGTGGTAGACTCTAAAGCGGATTATGACAGGGCTAGACAAACATTGGTAGAGCCTGCAGTACAGCACATGAGTGGCGGATTATTTCAAAATCGGATGACAGAAAGATTCTTAAGTTTAAGGCACGATGGCTCTTGTTATGTGAAGGAACGTCGCTGGGTACCGCAGTTGATTAGTGGAGAGATTATACTTTGAATTGGCAAATCCCCAAACTTCAGAACATAAAACGTTGAAAAATGAATGACACATGTAGCAATCAATCAGGTGGTCAACGGACAGGGAAACCTTGACGCCTACAGGAACTGGATCGATTGAAGTGACCCGAAATGGTAATTTTGCGGAGTAAAAGAAACCACAAATTATCACATTCATTTTTGTGATAATTTGAGAAGACGAGGCAGCCGGTTTTAAATGAGGTCAACAGCATTTATGCATCATATGGAATAGGCAAAGTCAGATTTTTAACATTTGAATGAGAACGGGCCATATACATATCATCATTTATCACATAACAAAATACTCTATCCTAGCTTCGGCAACATAATGCGGCAGCGGTGAGGATTTACTGGGTGAACGTCGTGTTATTTTCTACATAGACAAGAAAGGTCCCCACCTGGCCCTGGTGTTCCGGAATGGTTTGTTTGTCCTCGTCTCCTGGTCTCTCTCCGTTCTGGTCCCGCTGGTCCCAATCCCCTTCTCCATGTCACTGCTGGAATGCGTCGCCCTTCGTCTTCTCGTCTCCCCTTCCTTTTGCTGAGCTCGATCCTCGTCGGACAAAGCATAAAAAGCTGCCCTCTGGGTTCGAGTGGTGACGAAAGAATCTCCCAGAATCCGTGCAAGTCTAGCCTGATTAAATCGCTTT